GGATACAGCTGTCAATATCATCAGTTTATGAGAACTTTGACCCTTTCTACCCTTTTCTGAAGAACGTATTATGTGTTATCACTGTATATCAAGATAGGGAAAACATTTTCTCATAATTTATTGTGTGGTTTTCAAGTACAGTATTGGTTAAGATTTTAGTTACATTTACATCCTTCATATAAAACAGTACTTACATTTAAGTTACCAATCATGATTTTCTATATACTTACACCATGAAGTCCTTTCACTTTTTTTATTATTTTTAGTTTCCTAATAAATTTTATCCAGCTTATCTTGATATGTTGATATTCAATTATTAAGCTGTAAGATAACTGAAAACAATATCAAAGTATTGACATTTCAAAATTTCCACACCTATGGTATGGATTCAAAATAACTCTGGTTGCTTTCTCGTCTCAAAAGCAGAATCATCATATTGCCACTATTTTAAGAGGTTGGTAGCCTCTTTTAACCTCAATAAAACCGGCCATTTTAGACTCAAAAGCCTATGTATGGAACGTATCAAGCAGACAAATTATTAACCGGTTCAGAGCAAGATTTAACTGTAATACGTTTCAAGTGTCAGCGTTGGGACTTGAAGGACTTTAGGAGCTTGGTGTTACAGTCAAACCCACATTTAATGTAGTTGAAAACCCCGTCATCACAGTTTTCACGTGGTCTGAGAATCATAATAATCGTCTTTCAAGTCTAGACGCCAATACAAATATCAAGTAACTGCTGCAGTCAATGACGTCATCTGACGTGGATGTCGGCCAAGACACCACGGTCAACACTTTCCACCTGACGTCGTCCAATCAGAACCGAGGATTTTATGTCATAAAAGTTTCATGGAAGCATTTCTTTATGAATGGAAAAGTTGTATCTAGCCTGCTATCAACTACAATCGGATGTGCAGGAGCTGTATCGTTCTTTAAATATAGTAAACATCTGTTTAATATAGTACTACGGAGTATGTTTTATCTATGGTACTACCTACATCTTTCACCCAGTGTAATAATAGTCCGGTGGCTTAGTGTAATTACCGTTACATGGCGGATAAAAGCATCAAATTTGGTATGAAGGTACCTTAGGGTATGCTAATAAATTTTAGCCTAGGAGCCCTTTTGAAAATTTAAATATTTCCACACACGGCACCAAAATCCAAAATGGCCGACAAATACAACAAAAACTACCTTTAAAACAATCCATTCTCCTGTTAACTCTAAAATATAACTTAAATCCAACCAAGACTCTACAATACTAACCGGAGACATACTAAATTATATGAAAGAAATCTTATGTGTGTCTGTGTGTGAGTGGGTAGGGGTATGTGTGTGAGTATTTATGTAACGAAACCTGTACTGGACATTGCGCAAAAATGGGCAAACAAATTTACTGCAAATTTGGTGTGGACTTTGTTAGTATCATATGTCAACATTTGGATCTGTTTCCTTTTATTTATCTATTTTTATAATTTTATTTTGTTTATTTTTACAATTTTCATCTATTTTTTTTTTTTTAGATCTACAGAGTTAGGCAAAAGTATGGAAACCCCCCAGTTAACTTTTAAACGCGTTGCAGTAGGAAAACCAAACTCGGCATATATTTACAAAATAAAAAATTGAACTTTTTCATCAAAGTTACAACTTTGCCCCAGCCCCCAGAATGGGGTATTTTGGGGGCAGCCCCAAATTTTCAAAATTAAATACCTATCATGTGACCACTCATTTTAAAGGGTTTATCAAGAGAAGTTGAATGGTGCAAACCAGAGGTCAATATCCCACTCCAAATCGAAATGGCAGCCATTTTAATTATTTAGGATGATCAAGCAAAAGATAAAGTCTTGATAATCCCAGTTAACTTTAAAAATTGTATATTTTAATACTGGCAAAAAGGTGAATTATCTTTTTTATAAAGGTATGTAGAGTTTAGTGTTCCAGCTATAACCTGTTACAAAGTTAATAAGGTATATTTCAAAATGACCGCCATTTTGATTAGGGGGGAATATGTTGGTGTCATACTGGACCGCACACTGACATTTAAGGCGCATTGTATTGCGACAAGAGGTAAAGTCTCAGCGAGGAACAATATCATCAGGAAGCTCACCAGCAGATGCTGTGGTGCTAACCCTAATGTCCTCAGAACCTTAGCTTTAGCGCTCAGTGTGTCGGCTGCGGAGTACGCTGCACCAGTATGGAATGCATCGTCACATGCAAAAAAGGTTGACATAACAGTCGATGACATGGCTCGGATTGTAACTAGGTCTTTGAAACCAACCCTAGTACACAAACTATCCTATCATAGGGATCGCCCCTCCATCAATCCGACGTGATGTCACTGCCGACCCAGAAAGGACTAAGAAAGAGACAGACCCTCGTCACCCATTACACGGCCACCAACCTGCAGAGTGACAGCTTCGGTCCAGAAAGAGCTTTTTATCACGGACACGAGTCCTGGATGGATCACTCTCAATCAATCGGGTGGCAAGGTGGGAGACCACGTTGACTAACCCTTCCTTACCAGCCAGGGAAGAACTGGCTCCTGGTGGAGGCCTTCATTACACGGTGTGGAAGACCCTAAATCGAATTAGGGTCGAGGTACCAAAATGCAGGACAAACATGCAGAAATGGGGTCTTTTACCAGACAAAGAAAACATCTTGTGCGCGTGTGGTGCTGTCCAGGATCCTGGCCATCTGCTGATCTGCCCACGCCTAGACCAGTCTTGCACATTTGATGATCTTTTACATGCGAATGACAAAGCCATATCGGTAGCTAATTTTTGGAAATGCGAAGTCTGATTTCCGGGCACGGAAAGTAAGTGAGTAGTATTAGGGGGGCGATATTGACTTCTAGTTTGCGCCACTTAATTTGTCTTGAGAAACCCTTTAAAATGAGGGGTCACATGATAGGTGTTTACATTTGAAAATTTGGGACTGCACCCAAACACCCCATTTTGGGAGCCGGGTACAAGTTCTAACTGTAATGAAAAAGTGATTTTTTTTTATTTTGTAAACATGTGCCGAGTTTGGTTTTCCCCTGCCACACGTTATAAAGTTAACTGGAGGTGTCCAGACTTTATCTTTTGCTTGCTCATCTTAAATTAAAATGACTGCCATTTTGATTAGGGGTGCGATATCAACCTCTGGTTTTCACCATTTAATTTATCTTGATAAACCCTTTAAAATGAGTGTAAATATATGCCGAGTTTGGTTTTCCTACTGCAACGCGTTAAAAAGTTAACTGGGGGGTTCCATACTTTTGCATAACCCTGTAGATCTAAAAAAAAAAAAAAAAAAATAGATGAAAATTGTAAAAATAAACAAAATAAAATTATAAAAATAGATAAATACAAGGAAACAGATCAAAATGTTGACATATGATACTAACAAAGTCCACACCAAATTTGCAGTAAATTGGTTTGCCCATTTTTGCGCAATGTCCAGTACAGGTTTCCAGGTTTCGTTACATAAATACTCACACACATACCCCCACACACTCACACACAGACACACATAAGATTTCTTTCATATAATTAAGTATGTCTCCGGTTTGTATTGTAGAGTCTTGGTTGGATGTAAGTTATATTTTTGAGTTAACAGGAGAATGGATTGTTTTAAAGGTAGTTTTTGTCGTATTTGTCGGCCATTTTGAATTTTGGTGCCGTGTGTGGAAATATTTAAAATTTCAAAAGGGCTCCTAGGCTAAAATTTATTAGTATACCTTAAGGTACCTTCATGCCAAATTTGGTGCTTTTATCCACCAGGTAACGGTATTCGTAAATTAAAGCCCTAAGCCACCGGACTATAAAAGGATCATTCGATATGGCATTTAAAATGCATACAAAATACTAACTTCTCCTAGAGTGAAATGTAGGTTTAATGGAGTAGATTGCAAAAATTAATACTTAGGAAAACGTTTTGCACGAGCCGCAGGCGAGTGTGGTCAGGTTTCTCGAGTGCAGCAAAGGCAATTTGCGCTCAGTAATCAAGGTCAAAAAACGGATAATTGTTCAGTTATAAATCTTCTCACTGAGGAAGTAATTTTTTCCGCAGTTATTCGAACCAACGAACTTCAGATTTGGAGGCGAGCACTATAACCACTTTCCTATCCAGACAATTAAGTGTCTGAAATTATTGGATATACCAAAACTAATATACAACAAAAATACCAAAATTATTATGCTCTTTACACCTAATCTTTTATATAAAATGCTTTTATTTACTTACAACATTTACATCTACTGTCTGCATTTTTTATCAATATAGACCACTTCTCCAACATACTACAAGAAACCAGTTAGTATACAATAGTAAAATGCATTTTGTAGTTTATATGAAAACAACCCGTTGTCCAAAGTAGGACGGGGTTAAATCCTCTGAATAGGTGGAGCAGTTCGTAAGAGTGTTATTGCCGTGTCCTAGATCCTTAAGGATTGTTTCGCAGTTTAATTAACTAGTTTGGACTGCGAATTAACACTCCTGCGAAGTCTTAGCGAGTAAGACGGCAAACATTTATTTGTAGGTCAAGAGGTGTTTAGCAAGAGTTCTTGCAAAGTACTCTCAAAATCATCCCAAACTAATTAATATCATAAGCGTTACATGATCGTAAAATGTTAACAATAAATATATTATATATTATAAGTTGAAATCGACCGTTGTTTAATATGCTACATTAATATTGTGATTTTATAATTTCGAAGATGCTCTAGCTAAGCCATTAATTATAAAACCAATCATGTTTCAAGAAGATCTTGAACAATTAATAAGCTTTTACGAGTAGGAATTTCCAGAGATGTTGATTTTTTTTGTTTTATTTCTTTAAACTAGGTTAGCCTATGAACTTCAACTAACAGCTCTCTGTAATCTTTTAACAACCATAACGATTCTTAGATCCATAACTCCAAGGGAATTAATTAGAGGTAAATTGTGTAAGTACTTAAAGTAATTAAGTAGTTATAGCCACACTGCAGTGGAATAATGAAAGCAGTATAATAATATGATTGAAATAAAAGTGTAATTCATAAATTTATTTTATAGCATTTCTTGTTTCTTGAGGTTGCCAAGGTCTGTGGACATGACTGTCTGCTTCTCTTGCAGGGAAATATGTAAAGTAAACATCTCGAAATCTTCTATTCAGTTTTGATCCGTAATCGTAATGATTCAGCATGGTTGGGAAAAATGCTCTCGCATTATCCACCTTTTCCTGTTTGATTGTCGTGTGGTATTTTTTTGTTTCTTTCTTCACCTCAGATTCCAACCATTTTTTCCGATCCCATGTGAGTTTCCTCTCTTCTCGTTTTGAAATCTGGACTTTAGGACCTTTAGTCGATGAACTTAAGTCTACAGATTTCCACATCCCTCTACTAAGGTTCAGTAGCTCATCCTTGGTTTTTTGGGACAATATTCGGTTCTTTCCACGGCGAATCTCTAACCATCTTTGTATTGCTGGAAGTTTATCAATTTTGGGAAGTTGTGCTACAGGATCTCCCATTTCCGATAAGATCTCAATCGCTTTCTTCAGATGTTCCTTTTCATGCAGATCTTGAATGTCTTTCAAAACGCCTTGTAGTGTATCCAGTGACACGCGTGGCTCTTGGCTCATTTTGAGAGACGAGCCTTCAAAGCCTGTGCGAGAAGGTAGGGTTAACTTTGAAGTGTTCGACGCTTCAGTGGCTACCGTTCTTCGTGATAAAGTCCTCTTCCCCTCTCTTCCACCATAGTAGTATTCTGGATAAATATTCTCGTAGTCATCACTATAAATTGGTTCCGGTATGAGATAATCACTTCCCTGTCCTGGCACTTGCTTGGCAGCGTCTGGTGGCGTTTGGATTGTGTAAGTAGACCCATCTTTTTTGGGGAGTGGTAGTGGCTTTGCACTATCTTTGTTCACCATGGAAGTTTTGTTTTCTTCATCCGCCTTCGTCAATGTAGTCTCTGACAAAGTCTTGAATTGCTCTTGTTTATCTAACAAAGAAAAATCGAACAGTTTTTTCTTGCTCTTCCTCTTTCCGATCATGGTCAAACGACGTCCAAATGTTCTTCCCCGCAGGGACTTTTTATCCACATTTACCTTTAAAGAATCCGTTAGCCTCCTCTTTGATAAACAATAGCTTAGTAAAATAGGAATAGTCGAAGAATTGGCGGATACACGAGCGTTTTGATGTTCAAGAAGAGAAGATTTCAATTCTGACGTAACTTGTTCCGAAATTTCTGATTTCTTTTTACCCACCTTATTATCTAATAATATTATAGGGAGTAAAGCGCTACAAATCTTCCCGAAGGCCCAATCGTCGAAATCGACTTTGTTGCGAAAAGGCAAAGGCTCCATGTAGGGTGAGGAATATCTTACGGTCTCGTCATCTAGGTCTCCAAAGAGTAGTTCTTGGAAATACTTGTCCACCGGGTAAGGCTTGGGAGGAGGAAGCACGTAGTGCAACATTGTGAAGAGCGTTGGTAGCTGAAGCACACAGACAGCGGACAACAAGAGGCGTTCGTCAACAGAAAAAGGTCTTTGCAGGTCTCCCTTCTTCTTAACAGTCGCTTGGGCTTTGACTAATTGTGTGTGTGTTTCAAGCAAAAAGTCAACCGGCTCCAGTAGAGACAGCTTCATACACCGCCGTACCTGCTGGGGAGACAGTCGTGTTGTAACTCCTAAATCCAGTAGCCACTGACGAGTTCTCCCGGTCACCTCTTCTTCAAAGTCTGCCACAATCACGTCCCTCAATGTTGTAGCCAAGACAATTTGCTTTGTAGAAGGTTCTTGCCACCACTCTGGCCCACTGCTTTTTAACAACGCACGTCTTTTATCCTTCAGAATCTCTTTCTGAAAGCTTTTCCACAACTTTCTCATTTTCAACGCCTGCTTCTTTTCCTTCTCATATTGTATATTTCGGAGTCTGCGGATTTCCTCTTCAAAATACGTGTTTCCTGACCATTTCTTTGTAGAAAGAGCGTTCATGTGGCGCGTATGAGACGCTCGAATGTCTGAACTGGACTTTCTTACCTCTTTAAACGATATTGAAGTTGCAGTTGGATATCCTGAATGTGCTGGCTCAAGACTCTTAGGATATTCTTCATTCGCGTCATTGGGAGTTTCACTGTATTCTGTTGGTCTGGTTATATTGTCAATGGATACCTCTCGAACTATCAATGTTGTGTCATTCCCACAGAGGGAAAATTCTAGATAATCTTCCTTATTATCACTATTATCAACCATGATAATTTACACACCTAAATAACTATGTGTACAAATTAGTTACACTACACAGTTATGGCAATTTACTAGTGTTTATATGCAAGTTACTATTGATTTTAAAATATTTTAAAACTGGATTTGTTGTAAAAAAAGTACCACAACAAAAACATAGATTTTATTAGTAAGCATGTATAAATTCAGCTGATCCAAACGAATAAGTACAACTGATTCTAGTATTGGCCCTAATTACAGAACAACAGGATTTTGTAGCTAAAAAACTTATAATTTAGATTCATATAGTATAATGAGTAAGCTAAAGCTCGCTTCACCGTGGATTAAATTCTCCTAACCTTGTAGACCCTAACCTAGTCTTTTTTTCATTAATCGTCTAGAGATTATTGTTGTATTTACTCGTCAATATTTTTCGTATCTGAACAAACAGATTCGCGAAATCCACAAAGATTTTAAAAGAAGACTTTAATTTTTTCTATTTTGAATATCTTTAGTTTGGAAATAAAACCCCGGATATACCGACCAGTGTTCTATTTCGAGCAATTGAAACCTTTAATAATACTGCAATAGCATTGAACTATTTTTAGAGACGCAATCTAAACTTTATGTTTTTTGTAGGGCTTTTCTAATTAGAGCTGCAATCAAAGTAAGTTCACTGAAGTTATGATCCAAGATTTTAATTCTCTACAATGGACCATAACTGAAGGGTCTCTTTTCACTGAAACTGATTTGTTTACTTTGTTAGCGACACACCTTTATCAGTTGAAAGGTTCAGCTATTTATGTGGTTAATGTAATGAATCATGGTGGTTGTTTGGCGTTTCTACTCCTACCACAGCCGCAGAGCCAGTATTGATTACATTTAGTTACAACTATAAAGTTAATCTGTGTGTTATGTTGAAGTCGGTTATGTTAGTAGGTAAAATATTGTGTGTTTTACGAGGACAAACAGTCATTGCCGCTCTCGAAATTTCTATTCTACACGTTGATGTATGATCATCAACACTGAGAGCACAAAGTACCTCATTGTCACTCGAACACTGTAGAATCTACAGTTTTCGAGCGGCAATAAGGTACTTTGTACTCTTAACACACAAATAGCTATTTCGGGTACAAAAAAGCCTTCCTGAGTTTGTAGTCAAGTTGGTAAGTGAACACTTTCAAATATTTAGTGGGCTTACTAAATTGTAACTACAATCGGAGGGTAGTGTTTTGATAAAAACTTCTGCAACAAGTCTAAATTACCAATCACACCCCCACACTTCCCTACTTGATTCCATTGTTGATTTTTGTTCACTTCACCATAGCAAACAAGCTCTGACACACATACGCGTCGGCGTCCAAGCAAAATTAATAAATGAATGGTGCTGTTTGACTTGAGTCTACGATCTGTAAGAATAAATTATTTCTAACTAGACAGATTTGACGTTTGTTCTACGCATCTGTCTTCTAGATCGTTGCCAAACGGTCCGACGATTTCCTGCATTTCGAAACTATAGTGTTCTTTATCGAGCTCAGAATCTAAAAATGTATATGATTGTTGTGAGAATGATTTGGGTGTAAAATAAGTTGTAGACACAAAAATGGGATTTAGACATAAACCTTAAAGTAAAAATTAAACTATTGTAGTTCTAGTTCTAGTATATTGGAAATATCTGGAAATTATGGAGTAATTTCTCTACTAATAAATATTGATAGAGCATCCATATTATTTTATTTATATGAAACGTCGATAACTTAGATACAAACTTGGCATGAAACCGTATACCGTTACCTGACATTTTATTTAATAATCTATCCATCTATATACTTAATACAATAAGGGTTTTCTCCGTAACATAAACACAACACGTAACACAAGGTCACGTAACATAAGGTAGGTTTTTCAGCTACCTTATTTTGTCCGATTTTCAAAGTCGAGCGGTTGAGGTGTCTTTTTAAAGCTTATGATCCAGCGCTCTGCAATTGGTGACGAAACAGGTGATTTCCTTAAGAGATTCCCCCTTCCGTTTCAATTACTCCTAGAGTTCATTTTCAAAGATTCAGTGGTGCTGGCAACCTTTATTTATAATGGTTTAAACGAATTGTAATCCAACAGCTGATTCTTCAGTTGATTGTTTAAACACAGTCAGATTGTAAACAAGAGACAGACAAAATTTAAATATGCTATATTTATTTTTGATCATTGCAACCAGGTTGACGTAGATAATTCACTCTACTGTCTTCATGGTGTAGATCCAGATATTTTAATGTAAAGGGGTATTACATTATTATTTTTAACTAGGATCTTTTTTTTCGATCTTATTATGATGCGCAATTTTTCATGGGTCCCATCGTAAAGTGTTTTTTTATTCAGATCTTTGTTTATACTTAAAGACGAAAGCTAAAATCCCACACCAACTAAAACTAAAACGATAGCTTGATTAAGAATTTCCCAAATTTATGCTTGATTCACTAAATTAATCTATAAAATACGTCTGACATCATTTTACTCGATGAATCATAAACATTTAACGAAAATATTGTGCTCAATACCAGAATATACAAATCTCAGCAACCAATAACAACCCGCATACAAACAACCCATTTAAGGTCGTCACATTCTAAATTCGGCCAGCAATCATACAGTAACAGTGGGCCGCTTCCTCGAACGCTGTTTGCGCGGCTAAGAATAACTGGATATGTGGCAAAATAGACACTTATTTTCGCAAATGATGAGTTTCCACCTAATTATATCTCGGACTGAAACCGACGCTCGGTAGACGACGTGACGTCACGGTGACGGGTTTACGGTGCGATCTAGCAGTGAACTCAAGTACTGCGTTTGAAGTTAACGCCGGAAGTGAGAACAACTACGCAATACTGGCAGTCGTGAAGAAAGCACAAGATGAGAAAAGTTTACGTTGCAGATGTTAGGGGGCCTTGGGAAATTCAAAATGTGTTTAAGAAGGGTGATGGGTTTGTCATTGAATACTTTTATTTAACTACCCTTTTTGAAGATAAAGCTATACTACGATTATATACTTATTTTGCATTATGTGCTTATTTATTCTTCTGAGCCCTTGACAAAAGTAAAAAAAAACATTGGCAATTCTATTCACTTTCAAATGTAATTGAAAAAGTAGTTGCGACAATCGTGTTCCAAGTGTGTCCTCGTCGGTTTTTTAAGAAATGTTCGGCAAGATCCAATTGATACTCAGAAAATAACCAATACAATTTAGACCCTAAAATGTTACCATATGTGACAGGATCACTTGTAAATGATATGATCAAACATTGCAATTATTTGATACCTCAAAATACAATTAATATGTTTGTATAAAAACGTAATTTCATAGACGATTCTTTGATAACAGTATAAAAGAATTTATTTCTGTACCAAGGATCAAGGAAATAAAACAGCATTGTGGACATTATTCAAATAAATTACCAGAAGAATTTAACTTAGGGGGTTTAAATACATATTTTCTAGCAATATAAAACAAAATAAATTTAAAAAGGCCTTATTAGTCCTTATTAGTTATTAGTAATTATTTTGGGTAGTTAATTATTAATGATGTCGGGTAGTTAAACACTCAAATATTTAACATTTAACCCGTATTGTACTGTTAATACTGTTAATACTTTTCTATGAAACGGCAACCATACAAAGTAGGTATTTGAAACCAAGTATGAATGGAGATGAGTGTAGGATGAGTGGCGCGATCTTGTAGTCTTGTTAGAGACTAAGTATGTAACGTTATGTTCATTATTATAGCTGAATATATATATAGGTAGTATAAATACATGAGGTAGTATATATATATATCTGTAATATATATGTTTAGGTTGGCTAAACAACCTAAACATATATAGTGTGAACATGTGTGATAGTGTCGATTGTATTGATTCAGCAATACTAAGGTTATTATGATTATGAACGTTAAATCGTCTTAGGTTTACTGAAAATGTATGTTTTTTATTTTTCACTGTAAATTGTTTCAAATAAAAAAAAAAGAGTTTTATTTATTCAAAACACATTATGGACGCTTATAAACGTTTTTTACTTGTTGAATATGATTCTTTTGAGGTGTAAATACTAGTTTGTTCATCCTGAAACTACTATCAAGGCGCGTTTTACTACTTTGGCAGTTATAAACAGAAACTGCACCACAGTAGGCGATGGTTACTTATTTACAACAGTTGGTCGTCGAACCTTGTTGACGGAACTTTGATATTCGCACAACACAATCAAACATCTTTATTGACGTGGAATTCCTCCAATGACGAGATACAGCCACCGGATGTCATATACAGTCAAAGACTGGAAGTTTTTACAGGAATACCAACTTTGACATAAATCTCCGGGGTCTGCATCGGATAAGGAAACGAATTTCACACCAAACATGACGAGAAAATTTGGAAATTGAAAAATATCATGTCAATCAAAATTTTAAAGTACTTAGGTACCGATTTGTATTTATGAAATTGTGACGTAACCGTACATGTAATTTGACATGTAATATGTACATGACACTATACCTACGTTTCACCTTGAATTTACATACATACAATCGAAACTGAATTGGTGAAATTGACAAACTAATCTAGTCCTGCCATACAGTTATTTCTCTTGGGACTACCGTGACTTCGAACTCTATCTGTTTATGTTTACATATAAATGTAAATATAACCATGTGTCACACCATAGGGTCATTCACCTCAAATAAATTAATTTATGTAACGAATTATGTAACAAGTAATATTAGGCGAAATTGTATATTTGATATTACTAGAGGTAATGTAATGTACAATCTTCTCTATTTTCACCCCACGCTGTAAATAAAACATGTGACGATTGGGTACCATTCTTGATTTTCTGTTTACATATTGTTTACATATGTTTACATATGCGTTGTTGATTATTGTTAATGATTTACTATTTATTAATTAATTTTAATTAATTTATTTATTATTATTAATTATTAATGATTATAACCATTGACTGTATAATCAATGTTATAACGTTGTTAATTATTAGGCCTATAGTTGTAATAATCACCAGTATGGCAACCCATAAGGCCCGTGTGTTATTTTTTAGATTTTAAGTTAATTTTTGAATTTATTTTTGAGCCTATTTTAATTTATAATGGGA